TCCTGAAGGTAAGATGTGCTCAGGCACCTCTGCCCCCAGAGAAACTTCATTCAAATCAAGTTTTACAAGAACAAACAACTTTAACATAATGAAGCATTTGTGGTGTATGGATGAAGGCTGTATGAGTCAAAGTCAGGGGAGGTGTGATTAGAACTGCATGTATTTATAGATATGCCCCTGCAACCTCACTGCTCAATTCTCTGCATTTAAATATCTATAAATGCATGCAGTTCTAATCAAATCTCCCCTGACTTTGACTCATACAGCCTCTTTTTTTTTTTTTTTTTTTCATTTCAATGGCTATTTGCTCCTGCTCAGTTAAATGAACTTTTATAACTCTGGCAGGCTTCAGAAAACACTTGTTAGAACAGGAGATAAGACATTTTAAATTGAACACACTGTGCAAAAAAAAAAGTTTAAACATTTTAGCTCTCTTTCAAGAAGTCTGAATTACAGTCAGGGGAGGTAAAGCTAGGGCTGCATAATCAAAGTGATTTAATAACTAAACAACAGAAAATTGGGCAATGAGACTGTACACAAAAACACTTCATTAAGATAAAGTTGTGTTGGTGTTTAGAGTGTCCCTTTAATTAAGGTATAACTTGAAATAAACTAAAATTGTATAGATATATATCCTCAAAACATAATTTAATAACTGTAATTTTTTCCCATATTTAGCAACCAGTTGTGTTTACTCCATGTTGAAATAAAATATAAATTTATTACATTCATTTTTTGGTCTTTAGGTAACTGAAGATGTCCAACGAATACTAAAGAAGTGCAATTATGAATTTGTTTGCCGTGGCACCGTCAGTGTTAAAGGAAAAGGAGAAATGTTAACCTATTTTCTTGAAGGAAAGGTTAATGGAATGAATTTGCAAACCAGATCGTTAAATTTAGAACGCAAAATGTACCCATATGGAAAAGCAAATATTCATGCAAAGTTAGGTATTAGTTGTCCATCAGTAGCCAATTTGACAGCAAATGCTTTAGATCCAATGCCAGATGCAACATCCCATGCAAACCAGGGTTTGAAATATCTTCCTTCTATATCTCCAGTTGTAGAGATCTAAAACAAAGAATAACAGTCCTGTTTCTAATTGGTTTGATTGCTTAAAAGGATTTATGATATTAAGAGATGCGGTATAATAAATATATAATTCTCCAACCAAAGAAAAAAATAACATGAAACCAAGGGCTAACAATTATAAGTAATTCACATAGCATGAAAAGTGACTGATAAATTATTAAAACATTTTTTTAAATGTTTTGTTTAAGCAAAGTTGAACACAACCCAACTCAATTCAAGTAATATTCATTAGTTTTCCAAAAAAGATATACGATTAGTAAAATGAATTGGACTGTTGTTCACTAAACCAGGAAATTGCAAATTATAGGCTAAACATATCATATATATATATATATATATATATATATATATATATATATATATATATATATAGCTCAGCTCGTTTGACCTAAAAGTTGAACTATATTATTTCAATACAGTTACCTGTTCACTGAATAAAGCCTCTTACTATTCAGTTCCACTGGGATTTAAAAATGCGTTTGTTTCTGTTGTTATCTCCTAGTGTTATTCTTAAAACCAAACAATACTATTTGCACTTTTAGTAAATGCAGGGATTTCGTCATTAAACACCAAATTCCAGTGCATTTGAAAAAGAATTCCAAAATGTAGGCTAAAATTGCTGATTTAAAAATTATTTTCCCTCAGTTGTCAACATAGTTTGGGTATCTTAGTTTATTTTTTGCAGTTCAGCTTTTAATTGTTTAGTGAATAAACATAGGCATTTGTATTACAAAGTTAAGTCACTGAATTTTCTGAAAATGTGATTTTGCATTCAAATTTTCTGAATTATACACCAAAATGTAACATTTACCATAGAATAACAAAGCAAGGAACATACTGGACTTAAATTGACAGTTAATCTACTTTGATAATGTATTATACAGGCAACATCATGCACTCAAGGTGCTGTAGTGGGCATTATGTCAGAAGTTACCTAACATTATCCCACAGCCAGAAGTCAAACCAGTCACCTCTAATCTGGCCACCAATTCTGAAGCAGAGTTTCCCGTTCACAAACGATATATCAGTTTTGTCCATATTTGGATGAAATTCACCAAGGTCTTGATGTTCCTAGCCAATGATATCCAAACACGGACAGAATTGACATTACAAAACTAAAAGTAATACATTTGTTTTGGCAACTTGTTGTGAACTACCAGTGGACTTTTTACACAATAGTAACTGTCACTTTATTTAGCTTGTTAGTGTTGTAAATAAATACTAATACCTACATATACTTCTAAATGTCTACCTTCACACTCCCATTATGATATTTTTACCATATTTTTGCACGCAAAAACCCCCCCCAAAAAAACAGCATTCTCCTCCAATCATCTCAGATAATTGTCTTCATGAAAGGTATGCAATATTTCATGCAATGTATTATTTTATGTAAATGCAACTTATTATTTTTTATTTATTTCATCCAAAGCCCATGGTACTGTATAAGATAAAAATAAAAAGACGTGAAGCACCGAAATATGAATAAAGTGTGTTATGATATTACTATACGTCTGACTAAAAAGTACAACAATCATATATGACTTACTGCAAGTGATAACTCATATAATACATAGCCAAGTAATACTGGAACTCAGAGCTGGTGATGTTTAGTGAGAGTCTGGCTGTTAAGTGTTTTAGGGGTTAATGTTTAGTTATAGTGCAGGGTGGGCAAGGATTAAGTGGGAGGACATACATTTTACAGTCTTAACATATATTTATAAAAACATTGAATGAAGAAGTTTTATTTATTTTTAATGTTATATGGTGAATATTTTGCTTTGAACTATTCCTTACCCAAGTTCATTATGACATAACCATACGACTGGTTTAAAACCAACTTCCTTTCCAGTAATGAAAGAATAAACCTTAACATACTCTCTAGTGTAAAAATGTCTCCCAGCCTCCACTAGTGGTTGTAATGAAGCTCCAGTCCTGACAAGGACTTTACCTTCTCTGGATTCGTGAAGACAGGAACTCTGGAACAAGGTGATGTGAAGTGAATAGCTCTATCCCTCCCCAGTAACTTGATGGCACACAGTTCTGGGAGTACAACTGATTTATTCAGCACAAACTCAGCCTTTTAAGCACAGCATGTGGTCTCCATTCAAAACAATAGAAACCTCTCCCAGGCGTCGGGTCAAACAAAAACATAGTCATACTTCACAGGAAACCCACAAGTCTTGTATTACTGAATAGCCCGGATCTGAGTGCCCAAGTTGTTCAAATAGCTCATAGATCTATATGGTAGAACGGAATCGCCATTCGGGTAAAGTTCTGAACGGCCAGCCACAAGGTGATTTCCCCAAATAGTTCCAGAGAAAAGAGGG